CCCATTTTTGGGAACGGAGTTCCCAAATATGGGAACGGGCGTTCCCATTTATGGGAACGGAAGGTAATTTTTCGGCCGTTCGCCCACTAAAACTCATTAGTGCATCACGTCTCAAAAAAATGCACGCTAATTTAAGTATCTACTAAGTCTCTATAAAATTATCTTTAATCTGACCGTTGCACAAGGAAATTGACCGTCGAATGATATTTTTAATGATTTTTTGAAATGACGGAATGGTGAAAACATGGTTTATACTACATTTAACTTGCAATTTTAAGGAAAATGAAGCGTTTTTTACATTTTGAGGTCAAGTATAATAATTTTCGCCTGGTTATGAAGTTTCATACTAGCGACACCAGATGCTGACATATGCAAGCGAACACGCGGACAGTCCGGGGGTAATATTGGTGACATTTGGTGTCGGGGCGCACGACCGCATGGAACGTCAGTGATTTTACCGAACTACTGTTGTAAACTCAGTTTCAGTGGTTTAAAATTATTCAGCTGTATTATATCATCCCAGATAGACATATTTTATTTGGATGCTAGCTGTTTAGAGTTGTTTTATAAGGAGCGTCATGAGCGTGGTTTTTGTCTTCCGTGTTTCTAAGCGTGATCGTTTTGGGGGAATTTCTCTTATATAGGTCGCTCTGTGTGGCTTATTTATAATTCTTCTGCTGATTTCGATCATTCCTCGTGCCCATCCTACCAGGCCTTTGCCACTTACACTCATCAAGAAAGGAAAAAACTAGATTTTCATTGGGACTAGGTGTTTTGAGGGTGTAACATATTCAGCGTTCCCATTTTTGGATACTTCCTTGTGCTCGTCAACTATCGGTGATAAACAGACAGGTGCTTGACATGTCTCCACCCTCGGCGCGGACGGTGGATATAGGTATGGAAGACCTTGTTGAACATCGCTGAGCGTTGTGAATTACGTAATCCTGCAGAGGGGGCGTGCCCGCTGCGAGATCGACGGGAATAAAAGCGCAGAAGACCGGGCGAAACATGCGACGGTCTTGCCGGAAAGGTCATCTGATGATTGTTGCGTTAAAGGAAGACTGCCACCTTCAAAAAGTTTTCTCAGATCGGCCTATGATTTATTCCCTGGACAAAACAAAATTTTAGAATTCACCTGACAAAGTATCATCACGTGAATCGCGAAAAAAATTGTCGATTATCATACAATTATCAATCGGTTAATGTCTAGCGACAATGTTTACACATCACTAGACTTCAAGGTCATAAGATAATTACATTTTATTTGAAAAAGTAAGGTATTTTATGATTTACTAATATATGATTTCATAAGAAATTGGCCATGTTTAATTTATTTTGCATTTAAGTTCGTAAAACATTTAAAAATCATGGCTCATTTGGAATGGGTCTGGCCCATGTTAAACTCCATTTCCCACACTTTTTTGGAAAAAATGAACTACTGAATATATAAGTTTAACTTTTATTTTGACACTCCAAAATTATTCTCTGATCTCGAAACAATCAAAGTTTTGACATATATTTACCAAAAGATAAGAAAATTCATGTTTCAAAGTTATCGATAAACAGTAGAGATGTCGGTTTTCTTGGACTAAAAAAATGGCATCAAACTGAACTTTGGTCTCCGATTTCTCGCAAACGGGTTCGAATTTCGGAAAACCGACTTCAGTCTGGGACATAGGTGGCTCAGCTCTAGTGAAAACCGTTTTGTGAAAAAAAGGTGGCAGTCTACCTTTAACAATAATTTGCGGCGTTGGACGTGATGCTTGTTAATGAAAAGAGCCCCTGAAAGGCGTCGGTGAAATCGTTCCCAATTTTGGGTACGCCGTTCCCATAATAAGGAACGCTTGCAGCGCCAGTGTACGAGAGCGTTCCCAAATTTGGGCTCGCGGCCCGGATGATGGACTGCTTTAGAAATAGGGGAACGATTTGAAACTACGATGGGCCTTACAATATCAAACTCTTTCCCAACAATATTGAGACAAATATCAGGTGGTTCACGATCGTTTTATATTTTTTGGACGTCATTTAACGGTTCTTTTTCTTGTTTAAAATAATGCCTACATGGCGTTCCCATATTTGGGTTTATCGTTCCCAAATATGGGAACGAAAATGCGTTCCCGAAAATGGGTACGCTTGACCATAGTTCCGCCTACTGATAAAGAACATATCAATCACAGGGTGGGTAAACTGAAAACAATCCCAGGCACACTTCAAATATCATGTATTTTGCACTTCAAAATATCATGTATTTTGCCAAAGCAGCGCCACTGAGTATTTGCACACACACACACACGGTCGGGATCCAAGTGTGAAGGTCCGTGCGCGTCCCTCGCAGTTTGCCTCCTCTTGGTCCGCCGCTCCGTCCCGAGCCTGGTGAGCTGTGACGATGAGCTGTGGAGCACAGCACAGGTGTCTTTGTTAAGTACCTAACGTTTTAAGTTCAGACCAAGGCTATAGAACTCCAGGTAAGGACACCAGCCGTTTGACCTTGAACGCCGCCGGCCGGCCGATGACGTCATTGGAGGCAAGCCGGCTCGGCGGACACACAGGGCGAATGCATAACGGAGGGGCGTTGGAACGTTGCGGGAGCCAGGGAGATATTTTAAAGTGGTTGCATACCACCATTGTTTGTTGATTGATCTACAGACTGCATCCTTTTAAACCTCGGTGCATTCTAGGCCTGGATGGTGCGTACATTCGTGGAACGATCACCCCGTCCGACGTCCGTGGTCGAAGCTGTCATAGTACTTAACCCGCGCACCGACGGGGGTCTGCGCCAACTTAGTACCGACGGGGGGGGGGGCGGATGACCGCCCCCCCCTGAGATCTCGAGAACAAAGCAAGATAGCGACAAGCAGTAAACGGCATCGGATACGCACGGACAAGGTCTACAATTTTTACTAAGGTCATTTTCAGGTCAGGTCAAAGATGACGTCACAGGGGTCGAAAAAGTCAAAATGGCGGCGCTAGATATGGAGAGGGTTTTTCTCGAATAACTTTCGAAGTAGTCAAGATAGGAACAAACTAAAAGCATCATCGTGATCCTCTCGTCGATCCGCATCGAATGATATATGTTGACGTCGAAAGGTCAAGGTCAAAGGTTGACCTCAGGTCACGTGACCTCGAGGTCATCATGTATATCATTCGATGCGTCTTGACGAGCTGAACACAATGAGACCATCCGCGCGGCTGTATCTTGTTCCTGTAAAGAGTTATTGGCAAAAAACCTTTGGTGACCTTTGATGACGTCACATGACCTTACAGCTGCCCAACAGCAAAACAGACCTCAAGGTAGTGAAGGTTGATCGTATGTGAAGTCATGTATGGTATATGGGGCCATTCTGACCCGTTTTAGTGGTAAAAACAGGGAGTTGATTTTTCCCCCATTGACTTATAATGGGGAGGTCGCGAAATTGACCTGACCTTAGGTTACCGACATCAAAATTCCGAGATATACAAATTGTAGCTACTAATGACCTTATAACATCCTGCGACTTTCAAAGGCCTCCGACATCTACTGTAGCTCTGGCACGGTGACAAAGTTGCAAAAAAGTGACTTGAGGTTGGGTCATTCAAAGTGACCTGGTGACCTGACCTTAAAAGTTAGGAGGTTCAAACTTGCACACCATGTGTAAAATTGATGAGAGAATAGTCATACCAAATTTTGCGGCGCTACGCTCCGCGGTTTTCCCGCTATCCGCGAAAAACCTCAGGGGGGGGGCGGATATCCGCCCCCCCCGTCGGTGCGCGGGTGCAATAAGACACTAACGGGTGCAATAACGGCGATCCGATCCCGTCTCTGGCGAATTTAGAGGGGTCGTAAGGACCCAGGCCGAATCTGACCGTCTATTTTTAGGGAAACGGGGTGGGTGAATGGACAACCGATGGCTTAAGAGATGATGAGAAGGGATCCGTCGTCGATTGTTGTTTGACAGACAACACATGTTGTACTGGGCGTATGACCATCAGAGGTAATGCCTGAACGTAGGCAAGCATAATTGGTCTGTCATATTGTTTAGGAATATAAAATGGTAATGGAGATCATTGAGGATCTCTACATTACGGGAATTCACTAATTACTACGGCCCATAGGGGCACCGCCGGAGCTGTTGTTTTGCCATCGGTCCCAGGCAACTCCAGGGAGCTGCAGTACCCGGCGGCCAAAGCGGCCACCTCGTCGACTCGCAGGTCCTCTGGGATTCCGTGATGCTTTAGTGCTTCACCCACAGAAGCACGGGCATAGCAATTAGCAGTAGGATGTGGGGCTAGGTGTCTGTCCACCTCTTCATTCAAAGAACAACGTGTACAGCGCCTGGTCCCGCCGAAGCTCGGTATCGACCGTGACTTAATCACAACTGGCGGATCCAAAAAGCGGTATTGGACACTGCGGGGGCTTTATACCCCAAAAAGGTTGTTGAGTCTTTCCACTTATTAGTGCCTTAAATTAATGTTTCAATTCAGCTTCAGCTTGGTAAATTACGTTAATGTCATTTTTGCCCAATGTACTACGTCACTGTGTCACTGTCTAGCAACTCAAATTACTCAAATTAATATCGAAATCAAAGTCTATGATTCAACAATATCAGAGGCCTCTTGCACCAAACTACCTAGCTAGGTAAAATCGAAAAACCGGTTTCAGAATAAGCTATTCTAACGGTGGTAAATTTGTTTGCAATAGCCCAATACATAATCCTACATGTGCTTGCTAAATTTTGCACTCAAAAATTGTTACATTTGAGACTTGGACTGGGTATACGATGCAAAATAATCCAAGTATTGGTGCAAGAGGATTTTGGTGCAAGAGGCCTCAGTTCTATTTTTCTTCAAGACCATTCTCTCTCTCTAGCCACTTAACATTCTCAATTTCTTGTGACACACATTCTCTGCACGCACACTTTTGACAAACATGCTCTTTTTCTGTAGAGCTTAAATAAATGCGCACCTCCCGTTAGTAATCACAATCCTCTTTGGATATTCTACATTCTCCCCCGGGGTGGAATTCATTCCTCAGGTGGAGAGGCCGCCTCCAGCAGGTACAGCTTCTGAATAGGACGCCGCACGTCACCCCGGAGGGTGTGCACGGTCGCGGCCCGGGACCGCCCGTCCCGGCCAGGGTGCAGGGTCTTCACTGTGCCCGTGGTCCAGACGAGCCGGTTGGATGACCTCTCCCCCTCGATCAGCACAACATCGCCCGGTGCCGGCTCGAGGTCCACTCTTGAGGCGTTGTGACGGAAGTCTCGCAAGTTCCGAAGGTACTCGCGCTGCCACCGAGTCCACAGGCTGGTGACGATCCTCTGCTGGTAGCGGCGCCTCCGCGTCAGCTGCTCCGATTGCCTCCTGGCAGCCTCGCTCCGTTCGAAGGCACAGTGCAGAAAGTCAGCGGGTCGTAGCGGTTGAATATCATCGGGATCATCGCTGACGGGCGTTAGAGGTCTCGCATTGATCGCTGACTCCACCGAGCACAGAACGGTCTCCAACTCTTCCCACATCAGTGAAGATCCCAGGGTGCGTCGCAGAGCGGCCTTGGTGAGTCCCACCATCCGCTCCCAAAAGCCGCCCCACCACGGAGCGCGCTCAACGATGAAGTGCCATTTGACACCCTCTGCAGCCAGCACGGACGCAGCGCCACGGAATGTTGTGGCGTTGTCACTCATGAGGCTGGCCGGGCAGCCTCGTCGGGCGCTAAATCGGCGGTAAGCCTTCATGAAGTCCTCTGTTGTCAGCGACTTCACCATTTCCAGATGAACTGCACGAACTACTGCGCAGGTGAAGACGGCGATATACGCCTTGAGGGGGCAGGAGTTTCTTCCCTGTCTCACATACAGTGGCCCTGCGAAGTCCACACCTGTTCTGCTGAAGGGCCGGGCCGGTGTGGTCCGACTGCGGGGTAGAGGGGCCGGCCTCTGGTGGCAGAACGGTCTGGCGCGGAACAGGTGGCAGCTCCGACAGCTCAGCAGCACTGACCGCACCTTCTGTCGTCCCCGAACGATCCAATACCGATCACGGATGGCGCTCAGAACTTGCGGGGTGCCGGCATGACACAGCTGCTTGTGCGTCTTCTCGATCAAGAGATGTACGAATCTATGATCCGGTGGCATGATGATTGGCCGCTTTTCCTCCTCTGGCAGCGCAGCATAGTGCAGCCTACCTTCCTTTCTCAGGATCTCCCCGTCCAAGAACGGACCGAGATCTTTTATTCTCGATCCAGGGGGCACGGTGTGACCGGCTTTCAGAGCCTCCACTTCTTCACTGAACTGAGAGCGTTGCGCGTCCAGAATCCAAAGTCGCTCCGCCCTCGCGAGCTCTTCTACTGTCATGATACCGTCTTGCTTCTTTGACGATCTGCTATTACAGATCCAGCGCAGGACGTAAGCTGTGACTCTCAGGAGCTTGTTCAAACTGCTGAACCGTTGAATATTGATCAAACGACCAATACCTGGCGCAGGCTCATAGCTGCTGGAGGCCGGAAGTGCTTGCTTTCTCTCTTCGACCTTGCATTCCGCAGGTTCCTGTTCATTTCGCATCCCCTGTGGCCATCTGATTTTCGCTTCTCTGAGCCACTCAGGTCCGTGCAGCCAGAATTCACCTTTCATTTTCTCCGCAGGCGTGCCGCGGGAAGGCAGGTCGGCGGGATTCTCCGCTCCGGGACAGTGGTTCCAGGCAGCAGGAGAGCTGAGGCTTTGGATCTCGCAGACTCGGTTCTTCACGAACACACCCCAGCGTCGGGCCGCCGCGTGCCGCGGCCCTGCGTGTGCTGATTGGTCGGCCGCCGACCACGTGTGGTGAGGCGATGTCGGGTGGGGTCGCGCCGGCGGAGGAGAGTCGCAGGGGGCTGTCAGCCGTAGGTAGTAGCAGGGTATATTGAGTGAAGGGTAGGACGAACTTTGGTAGGAATTTCTAGTATAACTACTAGAAAACCTACTATATGTGGTCGGGACTAGCAAAAAGTTAGTTCAATCTAGAATATGGTAGCGCTTATGGATGGCAGTCGTGACGCGCACGTGACAATCATTTCTTAAATTTCTTAAATAACAGGTTGTAAAGTGTGTGTCATTGCTTATCGCCGTTGCCTTGCATTAATTGCTGCTTATATTTTATGGGTTTAGGCTTAATTAGTTCGTAGTCTAATTATACCTGCGTGGTGGCTATATTTCATTTTCGCATTTTCAACGCTCGCTACCTTTGCCGCTCTCCGCCCGCACTCAGCTCACCGCAGCTGACCCCGCGGTCGGCCCAACGGCGCGTCATAGTTTATCCATGTGTGACTCATTGTCTCCAGCCCGCCACGACGGTGCCGCTGAGTCGCGCCAGCCTGACGCCCGCCATCCGTCATTCATGCCGGCCCGCGCAGAATAGTGACCTGGTTAATGTCCACCAATGCTTCTGACGCGCTTCTTGGAACGATATCATGCTACGCCCCCTCGACCACGGTGCCAGCGCGTGACGATTGGCAACTCATCTGACACGTGTCTTCTGAGAGCTACCAGAGGGCCGAGGGGCGGTGACATAGTAATAACCAATCACAAGACGAGTCTTAAAGCGAAAATGTTTTAATCCAATAGCGGGCCGTCACGCAGGATAGTTTTATATTCTAGTATGTGGTAGGAACTAGGTCGGGGTGAGCCGAGCCGAGAGCTCCCCGGCAAAGGGAGGGCAGAAGACCCCCGGCCGTCACCCACGCCGGACGTGTTTCTGCATCGGTCTCGACCGACACCGTAGCTGACCATCTCGCTGTGTTGTGCTCGTGAACAATACACCTGGACCGGCAGAGCATCTCTTCTGGCAAGGGCTGACAACAACACCGGCGCGCCCCCGCCCTGGGCACGAGAAACCGCCGTGTTACATTGGTGCCGCTGACGTCGGATCGAACCTGCCGAAGAAGCCGTCTTCTCACGTCCATCTGCTTCTCCGTGCGCCGACTCTTCCGTCCGAACTCTGCCGCTGACGAACTCTGCCGCTGACGAGCACCTATACAACGCTGCTGCGCTCCAGCTGCTACCAGCCAGCTCTCACGGCTACTACATCTGCCGATACTTCACAGTGAGCCGCTGAACAATAGCACTCCAAAAGTGAGTACGCCAAAGCTCGGCACCGTTTATCTCCATCAGTGCCAGCTCAGCCAGCTCAAGGTACAAGTACCTGTACCAGTACCAGTCATAAAGGGCTCTGAAATCGAACTGTACCAGTCAGGCCCGATCTGCCCGAGTTATACGGCAGCCATCTCAACCAGCGCTCGATTTAAGCCGCTGATAACTCCAACCGACCGTCTCTCGTCATCGAGACAAAGTTTAACAGGAAAGAGAGTTCAACTCGTGCTCTCCAACGAGGTCAACTGACGTCATCAGAGAGGTCAACTGACGCTCTTCTCCGAGGCATCTTCATCGAGTGACTTCAAAGGCGTCCAACGCCCAGCGCTGCAACAGACTCTCGCGCGTAATCGAAACAATCCGCCCCGCTGCGTAGTGAAAGTGATAGTGGAGTGATAGTTAATGAGCGAACAACCCATCTTCGGCGACGCCATCAAAGGTACGTCTCGACATCTCCCGAGTGGCATTTGATTTTGTTTTTGTTTCCTGTTAATATCAACGTAACGTAAATACTAAATACCCATTTTAGCTTTTGATTTTCTGGCTCCTTGTCGCTTCAATGATGGCTCAAAACGAATCGTCTCGCTCGCATGCTCCCGCTTCTGCTTCCTCAAGCCAAATGATCAATGCAATGATGCAAGGTTTCGGTGTTCTAAAGAACCAACTTATGACTAACCAGTCGGTGTCGGGGAAACATCATTTTGATGGCACAAGTGGTGAGCATTTTACCAAATGGCTAGCTGAAATGGACAACTTGCACATGGCGCTAAAAGGCGATGAGGAACAAACTCTTTGGGCTGCTAGTCAAACACTTAAAGGCACAGCTCTTGATTACTTCCACGAGGTGGCTCCGTCTATTGATTCTTGGGCACGATTCAAAGCTCTCATGACCCAACGTTACCACTACCTAGACGACACGGATACAGCGAAACAGAAACTGCAGACTTTCGTGCAGAGGCCGAATGAATCAATACCTCACTATGCAGAGCGACTTCAGGCGCTCTCCCGGCAGGCCTACAAGCAGGGGTGTCGATTTTTCAAAATGGTTGGGGGTGCTCAACCCCTGCACCGGGTGAAAGATTGCAGCTTTGCCATGGGGCACAACCGTGCAAGGCATGGTTGGGTATCCCCATAAGGTACTGATAATCACGGGATTTCCCCCCCCCCCCATCAGGTTCAGGGGCCCATCGGGTTATTCGGGCCTGAGGGGCCCTGCGGCGCCAATTGGCCGCTGAGGGTCCACGTTGGCTATATTTAGACTCAGAAGGGCCCCACAGGGCTCGTAAGAACACCTCATGGGCCCACAAGTACCAACATTAAGATCTCCATAAGGGCCCCAAGCCAGCCTCTGAGGGCCACTTGCCGGCCTCTGGGGGTCTTAACCGGCCTATAGGGGGCCAGCTCTAGGAGCTGCACACCCGCCTATAATGGCCCCACACCCACTTCTCTGAGGGCCCATATAACGGCGACTGTAAGGGCCCTCACCGGCGCCCCTCTGAGCGCCACACCGGCGTCCCTGAGGGCCCCACACCCCTAACTCTGAGGCCCTACACCAATGCCTTTAAAACCCTACATGGGCGGTTCTGAGGGCCATTGTCAGTTACCAGCGACCCTGACGGCTGACACAGGTGACTCGGAGCCGGAGGGTCCCAGCGGCGTCTGAGCGCACCATGCCAGTCTCTGAGAACCCCACAAGGCTCCTGAAGGCACCGGTGACCTCTTGATATCTTTTTGTCGGCCTATGAAGGGTCCGTTCCGTAACAGCAGTTCTGAGGGCCCCACGCGCGCCTGTGATGGCCCTAAACCAGTGTCTCTGAGAGCCCCCACAACGGCGCCTGTGAGGGCCGTCACCGGCGACTGCGAAGCCCCCACACCGGCGCCTCCAGTCCGAGGGCCCCACATTGCCATATCTGAGGGCCCCACACTAGTGCCTCTTAAGGCCCTATATCGGCGGCTCTGAGGGCCCAGCATCGTAGCTTCTGAAGGCCCCACTAGTGCGCATGTGACGGCCACCCTGCCACCGGTGACATTTGAAGGCCCCACACCGGCGACTCTGAGGGCCCCATCGGCGTCTGAGTCCGTTCCGGTCTCTAAAGACGACCCCACAGGGTTTCTGAAGGTACCACCGGCCTCTGATTGCCCTTTGCCGGCCCCTGAGGGCCCGTCGCCGGTCTCTGGAGCCCCCTGCCGGCTTGTAAAGGGTACGCACCAGCAGCTCTAATAGTCCGACACCCGTGTACGACGGACCCACACAAGTGTCTTTGCAATTTAACGTCTTTTTTCGCCCTTCTTCTTAAAACTAACTTTTCTTTTCTTTACATCTTTATTTCATGCCTTGTAAATTGCGTAATTGTTTTATTTTTTGTAGTGAAAGACTGCAGAACAATTATTTTCCTCAAGCAGAGTTAGTGGGAGTTATTGAGGGACAAAATCATTGGGGGTGCCCGGAAAACCATTGGAGGTGCTCATTTGAGCATTGGGGGTGCTGCAGCACCCCCAAAGGTATACAAATCGACACCCATGCCTACAAGGAAAAGATAGATGAATCCAGTGTCGTAGAGGCAATTACAAGGACTTTCATCAACGGAATCACAGACAGAAAATTACAAGAACGCATAGCGACCCGCCGACCTAAAAGCCCGACAGAA